TATTTGATTTATATTATGTTCTTTAATGGGCTTCGCAATATCCACATATACATTTTATAAAGACTGTGGGCTATTCTGCGTTTAATCATCACCCACTAAGGGTTTCCATCTTCGCCTCTTTTTATTTATCTCTTCACCTTCCCTATGGTTCAATGTATTTATTTTAATTCTGCCATAATTGTTATTCACATTGGATCCAGAATCCATGTTGAAATCTCCATTTCCTTTGTCACAAATCTATAAATATGAACTGGTTGAGAGTAAGCTGGATATAGTGCTGCTACGACTTAACAACAACTTATACTTTGTTCTACTCAGAATAATGGTGATGTGGTATGTGTATCTATTATGTATAAGCTTTGATCCTTTCTACCATAAATGTTTCTTATCCCTTTTACTCACATAGACTCTGTTGTTGCAGTTTGGACAAATGAATCTTTGAGGAGCGAACTTGAGAGATTACAACTTGCAATTGAGTAAGAATCTTGTGTTTGATCTTGTGTTATAGCTTCGGTCTTTCGTCTTTTGGTTCATTGTTTTTAGGAGACTCAAGGGTACGGAGCTTGATCTTATGAGTTTTTTGGATCTTATTTCGCTTGAAAACAAGTTGAATGATAGCTTGCATAGCGTCAAGGATCGCGTCGGTGTGTTTGGGAGCGGCAGGGGTGAAGCGCAGTGGTGGCGCAAAGTGACGCATGGATCTTTTTTAGTTACTCGGTGGTGATTGGGGAGATTTATCCGCTAAATTCAAAGGTTAGGGCTTGTGATGAGTCTAGGATTGGGGATGTCGCGACAGTGGAGTTGAGGAAGGGGATCATCTTTTGGTTAATCATACGACGGAGAAAGAGTATAAGCTTAAGGCTACTGGTGACGTTGGGCGTGGGATTTTTGCTTATACAGGGAAAGCTGGAATGATTTCGTATGCAGTTGCTTGATTTCGATGTTAGGTATGAGTGATGGAACTTAAGTCTTTAAGATCTTTCAATGTATTTTTTGATATTATGTAGTGAATGATAGACAAAAAAAAATACTCTTTTGGAATAGTATAGTTGTAGAGTAATCTTGGAAGCTTGAGATTTACGTAAATCATATATTTTTTCTTCCTTTTTTTATGAGATAGTAACGTGGTAAAGATTTAGTCTCTGTTGGATAAACACAGTGATCTCTCATGCTTCATCTTTCATTATGCCCTCTGTTATGTAGTGCGAGTTGGTATATAATAGATGGAGATTGTTTATTTCTTTTAGAGTGAGTTCAAAATTTGTAGAATAATTTTGGAAGCCAAATAATTGGTGTTAAGTCAGTACTTAACTACTGGACGCTATCGATCAACTTCAGCAAACATATCTATACGTTTTCAAACAATTAATTTATAACCTTTTCCAGAACTATGTAATTACCAAAAGTACAATGGTCATAGTAAGTTTTTTGACATTCAAAGTCGTTAGCTGTTATAGTTGAAAAAAAAGAAGAACATTGTAACCAACATAGATGAATAAGTCTGCAAATATTAGCATTGACTTTCAGTCAACTTATATATATATATAGAGAGATTTTAACTCTAAATCATTTAAGTTTACAAAAAGAAAATTTAAGGAAATATAAATAGTATTTGTTATTTTATATTATAAAAAAATTAATTGTAGATACATATTTGATTTTCATATCTTCAAAGCTTGTTTTGATGTATGATAAATAAGTTTGGTGAATAAATATTGTTAATCTAAAGTTATAATAAAAATTTGTTTTAACATGTTCTATATGTACAGTCATTTATTTTAAATAAAATAAAACTAATAAAGAATAAAATGTATATTTTAATAAAAATATACAATAAGCTTCATTAAATCTATAATAGGTAGGTGTTGTGAAGACTTATACATGTATGTATACATGTTTTATATATAAGTAAGAACTTATCATTATATTGTTTTTATATTCACAGTAGAATTATATTTATATTTTGAACACTTAATATATTTTTTGATGAGATTTAGTAATATTATATCTAAAATCACATTTAATTTTGCAATATTATATACATCAAATAATATAATATAATTAATATATATATCAAATTTGAAAATATAATAATTAATGTCGGAAAAATAAAATCAAATATTTTTTTATCTTAGAATAAATATATCTTAAAATAAGAAAATTTAAGAAGAAAATTTTTATAAGTTAATATCTTTATAAACTAATAAAATTTCAACATCCCAACATTATTAATTTATAGAATTTGTACTGTGCCTAAGTAAACACTAATCAACTCCATAAACTTCAGCTTTAAAAAAAATAAATTATTGGCAAAACAAAATATAAAAATATCAATATATATGAATTCGCCAGCCATTATTATATGGACCTAATAAAGTTGTGTGATTTCCAATGTTCAATTCATCATTTTTATAAAAAACATGAAAAATAAAATAATAAAAACAGACAGCAAAATGTATTGCACACAATTATACAATGCACTAACAACAAAAATGTATCCAGCCCCGCACTTGCGCAGAAGCTATGCTTCTAGTACTGTAAGTAAATCCGTTTGTTGTGATTACGAGATGTATAAAAACTTTGTCCATGAAAAATATTGTGATGTAAAATCATCCGTCAATAAAAAGCGTTGTCTGTGAAACTCTTCATTGGAGTATCTTTATCAAGAGTATTTAGAAAGGCCTTTTAGAAAGGTTTTAGGGGGGAAAAGTGGGATAGGTCCCACAAAAAGAGAAAAAAAAACGTTGTTTTTTGTTGTAAAATAAAAAATATTTATTGTGAGTTGTTTACATTGTTTTGCGGGTCCTAAGACACATAGTGGCCTGCGATTAATTTTTATTTTACTTTTGTTTTTAAATTGGATAAAACAAAAAAAAGTTTAAGAAACTGAAAGAACGTTTCTGCGATAAAGATGCTCTTAGTTTCGCATATCCTAGACCTGGAGACAGTTAATCATATCATACAAATAAATTATACAATGACAGAATTGAGTTGACATGCGTTAAGAAGTATCTATACTATTAATTAAGAAGTAAATTTGTTTAGTTGTCATGTTCTCCATAAATTTAGGTAAAAATTATTTATTTATTATGTAACTAAAATGAATTTATATTAATAAGTTAATACTTTTATAAAATTAAATAATTCTTATGTAATATTTTGTTATGTTAAAAATATATTTTCCTATTATAAAACTTAAAATTAAGATATAAAAAATATTATTAATAATTAAATATAAATCAATACGATAATTATTGTGGATTGTGTTGTTATCTTGAAATATATTTTATATATAAAACTTAAATTCTAAATTAAGATATAAAAATTATTTATTTATTCTATAACTAAAACGAATTTATATTAATAATTTTATATTTCTCTAAAATAAAATAATTCTTATGTAATATGTTGTTATGTTAAAAATATATGTTCCTATTATAAAACTTAAAATTAAGATATAAAAATAATATTATTAATAATTAAATATAAATCAACAAATAATTATTGAAAAGTGAATTTGTTGATTTCTCTCCATGATCCTAGGTAATTTTGATCATTTATCAGCATTTCTCTTGTTTATTATTGATTATATATTTAAAAATAATTTATATTAATAATATGATATTTTAGAAAATAAGTTAATTCTTATGTATTATGTTGTTAACTTGAAAATATATTTTTATTATAAAATTTAAAATTAACATGTAAAAAATCTATACTATTAATTAAAAATTTAATTTGATGTTTGCTAATTGTTCATATTTTCTATGATTTTAAGTAATTTTGATAATTTATCATAATTTTTATAATTATTTAGATATAATTTATTCTATATTTAAAAAAATCATATAAATAGTATCAAATTATTAGAAAATAAGATACTTCTTACGTATTAAGTTGATGTCTTCAAAATATATTTTTTTATTAGAAACTTAAAATTAACAAATAAAAAGTTGTAGTTATTCTATAATTTAAATAAATTTACACTAATAATATTATACTTTTATAAAAGAAGGTAACTCTTATGTATTATGTTGTTATCTTGAAAATATATTTTTATATTAGATAATTTAAAAGTAAAATAGAAAATTATCTATTATTAATTAAATATAAATCATCACTCAAGAAAAATTATTTAAGAAGTGAATTTCCTGATTCATTAAGTTCTCGATGGTTTTAGGTAATTTTAATTATATGTCATAATTTCTATAATACTATATAATTAAACAAAATTATCATATTATATTTTAAGAAAATAAATAACTTATGCAATATATTGTTATCTTGAAACTCTGTTTTTATTATAAAATTTAAAATTAAGATATAAAAATTATATTTAAATATAAATTAAGTAAAAATATTATAATTAAATATAAATTAAGCAAAATCATTATAGAAATATATTCTTTTAAATATTTCTGATGTTTGAGTTTTTTCATTGATAATTATTTGATGTTTGATTTGTACTTTATGAAAACATAAATAATAACTTATTATGATGGTTTTTAAATTAATGAAATATCAACTAATAAATATTCATAAGGGAATTATGCCCGCAAGTGCGGGCAAAACATCTAGTACAAAAGTAAAAAACAAAAAAAACAAACAAACAAAAGTCTTATGAAGTATAAAAAATGTGTTAAGAAGGAATGCAATAGTGGTAATTTATCACCCAAACAAATAAAACTAATTTGGTAAAGGCTGTGACAATAATGTTTTAAAATTTAATGTCAAACAATGATTCAACCTTTTTTTTGTGCAACTACAATGATTCAACCTAATATCACGGAAGAGAAAAGTTATGATACGGCGTTAAGGAAAATGTACGCACCGTAACAGAAAATTCATACGTCGAGTCAAATTATAATTTAACGGAGTTAAGCGGCTTCTTCGCACCTTCGTTGCTTGCCTATATATAAGCATATCATAATATTCAGCTTCTCCAAGTTACATCTCTCTCTCTCCTCATTTTTTCTTCACTATACACAAAGGAGAGAGAGCTTTAGTGTATCCAACAATGGCGGGCTCAAAAAGTTTCTTAGCTCTCTCAGCAACTGTAGTTATTCTGGCATTCTTTGTCTGCGTAAATGCATCGACAACGTAAGAGTTTTTTCGAATCTTTGTACAATTGTACTGAATTCAGTTTTCTTGAAAACGTAGAGGTAACGTTTATGTCTCTGCATTTTTGTGTAACAGAGCTCACGAAACAGAGGAGCTAAAGTCTCAGAGCTTGACCAATACATCAACGGCCGATAAGTGAGTTTTTTTTTTTAACTTCTTATGCTATCTTCTCACCCGTCCAAGATTTGATCAACGAGAATACTCCAGCAATGCTTATACGGTGTCGTTTAAATGCGCTGTTTCTCAGGTTAAGTGACGGTGCATGGAATGAACACGCCGTTAAAAATCCAGAAGAAGTAGCTGCAATGGTCGATATGTAAGATTCTATTAAACTGCTACACACATTTCCAAAGCATTTCAACATACGTAAATTAATTATTTTTTTTTTTTGTAAAAATGAAGAATATTTTGATTATAATGGGTTGGACATTGTTGACGAAAAATGGGTTGAACGTATTTTATTGGCTGTTTATTGTTTCCACATTCTGTGCATCCCACTTTCATATTAATAATGTTTCAGATACTCAAACATATAAACTAATTTTTATTTCCTCTATTAAAAAAATTGACACGATTAAAATATAGTATTGAATATAAATACAACATTTTAATGTCTATTATTTCATCAAATTTGAATAAATATTAATTCATGAATTTAATAATTTTTATTGTTTACGGTATCATTATAAATTAGTAAAAATACATAACATTTCAAAAATTTACAGTATATTTTAAAGTGAAGAAATTTTTCCTTTGGGCAGCTAAAAAATGAAGAGGAATTAATTTCACCTATAAAAGTGTAAAAGTGTTCTGAAACAAAAAAGAAAGTTACACGCATATTTTCATAAAATAGTTAATGAATTTGTTTCCATAAATGTAAATTCTCTACAAAAAATTCAGAAACCTCTTTATAGGCCAGAAATATGTGACACAGACAGGTCGTGATCCCATTAAAAGCGCCTCTATCGTCGCTATTTTCCACCGACTCAAGAATGTATTTAATGCATTCACATACTTGCGTATAAAATATAGCTGATTCTAAAGTTTTCCGTATAGCTCGTATCATATGATTCAGTCTCATTTATTACATCACATGGTTCCCTCTCCCTCACTCCTCCCCAATCCTCACGTGTGATAAAGGGCTTTTTCATACATTGGAAAACTTCATAGACCAATTTGATAATAATTAAAAATCTAGCCCCTTTTCTGTTATTATTAGTTAATTTAGTTTGAATTTAAATCTTTGCGCGCAGGACGATAAGGAACAGTACGGAGCGGAGGAAGTTAGGATTCTTCTCCTGCGCCACCGGAAACCCAATCGACGATTGCTGGCGATGTGACCGTAACTGGCACCTCCGTAGAAAACGCCTCGCGAACTGCGCGATCGGTTTCGGTCGCAACGCAGTCGGAGGGCGCGACGGTCGTTACTACGTGGTCACCGATCCATCGGACAACGACGCGATCAACCCTAGACCAGGGACGCTACGTCACGCAGTGATCCAAGACCGTCCGTTATGGATCGTGTTCAAACGCGACATGGTGATCACGCTGAAGCAGGAGCTGATCATGAACAGCTTCAAGACCATCGACGGGAGAGGCGCCAACGTTGCGATCGCGGGGGGCGCGTGTATCACGATCCAGTATGTGACGAATATTATTATTCACGGGATTAATATACATGACTGTAGACGAACGGGTAACGCTATGGTTAGAAGCTCGCCTTCGCATTACGGGTGGAGGACGATGGCGGATGGTGACGCGATATCGATCTTTGGGTCGAGTCATATTTGGATTGATCACAACTCTTTGTCTAACTGTGCTGATGGGTTGATTGATGCCATCATGGGATCTACAGCAATTACCATCTCTAACAACTATCTCACCCACCACAACGAGGTTACTACTCATTCTACTATCTTATTACGACAATACCAAATTGGTTGTGCTTAAAATGAAAATTTTAGTAGCAATGGTGCTTAGCTTCTTAAACTTTCAAACCTTTGAAGTGGGTTGGAGCCAAGATTCAAATATAGCTTCCAAATCAGTTAGTATAGTTCACTGAATTGATCTTTAGCATAATCACTACATATACAATTAGGAGGGTTGAATTGGAGAATTTAGAGACCTTAAACATGTTTTAAGATTTTTTGTAATTTTTTTCATTAGGAGGCTTATTCATGTGTAAAAAACGAATAAAAGTTTTTGAGGACAAATACCAATGTTTCATTAGGTTTGGCCCAAATCCGGGCATCGACCATCATCTATGATAAACTTTTTCTTATGAACATTCAAGATCTAAGAAGAATTTTCTTGATGGGAATGCAGGTCATGTTGATGGGTCATAGTGATTCATACACAAGAGACAAGATGATGCAAGTGACAATAGCATACAACCATTTTGGAGAGGGGCTTATACAGAGAATGCCAAGGTTCTTACTCCATTTTCATTTTTGCTTTTTCCTCTGTTTGTTTGCATCAGAAAAAAAATTCAGAGTGCTGATTCTTCTGTTTTTGTTTCAGGTGTAGGCATGGTTATTTCCACATTGTAAACAACGACTACACTCACTGGATAATGTATGCAATTGGTGGAAGTGCTAACCCTACCATCAACAGCCAAGGAAATCGGTTCCTTGCTCCAGCTAACCCTTTTGCCAAAGAGGTATTCAATAAGTACATTTTTGATCATGTCTGTAAGACAAACCTTTGTCTGGAAGTAGGAGGTAGCTGAACGTTATATTGGTTTGTTAGGTGACAAAGAGGGTTGGTTCATGGCAAGGAGCATATAAGCAGTGGAACTGGAGATCGCAGGGAGACCAACTGCTCAACGGTGCCTACTTTACAAAATCTGGAACCGCTGCTCCTGCAAGCTATGCCAGAGCCTCTAGCTTGGCGGCTAAACCATCTTCTGTTGTACGTATGCTTACCTACAGTTCCGGTGCCCTTAAATGCAGGATCGGTATGCGGTGTTAGCTAATTTTATAACCCTCAAAACTAAGACCGAAGAAGATAACTGAATAGCAAATCAGGGAAGCAAAGAAGAACAAGAACTTGTTTTCTTCGATCCCGTTTTTTACATTTTCCTTTGTCTTTTTTTTTTTCCTTCTCTTTTACCATCGTACGTACTCCTTTCACCTCCTACTCGTCAACCTGGGCCAGCTTTCGTGCGCCACAGTGTTGTTCGACTCCAAATTGTAGTACAGTGCATTCTTCTTCTTTATTACTCTTTTGGCGTATCATCATTGTATCATATAATCTTCTATCAATGTAATGTTATTTAACTGATTCTGTTACACTATTCTCACTGCAATTTTGTGCCTCCTGGCTCAATCCAGAGCTGGCTTTCCTGGTTTATTTACCACATCATTGAGACAACAAATTACATCACTCAATACTAAAGACGAGCAAACCAGCGGGAAGAAATGAATGAGGAAAGCAAATACCATGCAACAATCATGCAAGCTTATGTTGGAATGTAGTCATAGGTGAGTAGTTTTTCTCCTCTCTTTCCATGATAGAAAGCTCTCAACGGAACCAATTCTCATGCCAAATGCGGCCCAATTGCTATATAACAGGCAAACAAGAGCTTGTATCCTTGCAAACTACCTTCTCTCAATAGCTTTAGTGCAGTATTCTTCCCATCACTAAGCTTTGCCTTATAGATTGTGTTCAGCTTCTCACTTTGTTTCTTTGATGAAACACTCTTAAATTCTGGTGATTCTCTTTGTGAGTTTCTCTTTATTCACTCTCTCTCTTTATCTCTTACTTGTGTTTATATGTTCTCACAAGCATTGCTCTCTCTCTCTGCTCTCCTTGTTTGATTTTTTCTTGTTCACCCTAGAGAGAAGAGAGAATACAATTTATGTCTATACCCCTGTTCTTTTGTTTGACGCTGCTATCAGCGTCAGTGACCGCAAACCACATCTATTCTCATGGCAAATTCACTGCTGACGGGACAAAAGCAACATTTTTTCCAGCCGCTGCGGCCAAGAATAATGAATAAATCAGATGCGGAAAATAACAGCGTTAGTGGTCTCTTGAGATTATAGGCAAAAAAAGTCACAAACACAAACATACAAACTAATAGTAGATTTCTCTATTAACTCCACTCATTCACTTACACTTATGGTTCGGCTACTCCCACTTGACCATGCCTCTACCTTGGATTATAAACTAATTCTACAGGCAAAGCTAAACAACTTGCTTTGGTTGTTGACAACTCCAACAACTCTTAACCACTCTAACTTAACTTAGTCAGCTTTAAACCAAAACTAAGGAGTAAGCAGTCTGATTTACCTCTCGTTCGTCTGATGTGACCAAAACACTCTGTTTAGTTCTTACACTCACCTTTGTATAATGTTAGCCGCTTCTTTATTCCTTCTAGCATCCTCCTGTCTGTTGCCTCACTTGTCTATTTTCTTGTGGGTTTACTGGAGTTGAATATTGTATTCGTATTTTGAGATCAGAGTAAAAAGTTTAAAATCTTTAATATGACTTAGCATCCTTTGTTGCCAGTGATTATTTCATACGAGTTCCATACAATCGTACTGTATTGTTTAGTTTTGTCAAATATATATATATTTTTTGTCAACTTAATTTTGTCAAATATACTAATTCTGATTGGTGGTTCAAAAAAAGAAATACTAATTCTAATCGAAAAATAAGTTCACACACAATAGAAAAAATAATACAACTCCGGGCTGGACTTTGTTGTTCTTTTTTTTTTCTTTTCTTTTGCGACAAAATAGCGAACCCCTTAAAAATAGCAAACCCTTTAACTAAAAACCCCTCTTTGATCTCTATCTAATTTCATGTTTTGTCTCATTTTGATTCATTAAACATCTATACTATTAAAGCTGAAGTACAAAAAATTAGTGTTTGGAAACATGAATAGGTATTTAAAATTATAATGATTGGAAACAAGGATAGCCTACAAATCTAATGGGCTTATTTATTAAACTAAAGATTACTGCGGCCCAAAGTATCATTATTATTGTTTTTGGGTTTCTATCATTGATATTATTTTATTTCTGAAAA